TTATTTATGTTCTTGGGTCAGTTAAGGTCAACTTGAGGAGCAAATGTTTTTTAAACAAATAATTATATTTAATGGAATGCTTTTCATCCAAGAATTGATTGATAATCAGTTTTTTGTTGCTTCAGTCGATCTCATGATAAGTTCAATTTGCACTTGACTTTCTTTTCCCATTTCATGATAATCATAACCTTATGATTAAGATGCAATTGAATCTGTTGATTGTCAATTTGATTGATAAATTGTTCTCATGTAAGCTTATTCCAAGACAATTATCAGAATCACACTCAAGATAATCATTACTCTGATCATCGGTAAAGCATGTGAAGGCGAAGGAAAAAAGTGATGGAATGAGAATAAAAAGATCTCAATGAATCCTCAGGATAAGATGAAAATGATGATAACATTTATGTTCTTCTTTCTTTTCTATGTTAATGCACAAAATGTTATCATCAATTTCATCATGAAATGAGATATTATCTTCTCTTGAGACTCAAAGCGAAATGAGATTATCGAATGGAAAAGATTCGCCATTTAATTCATTCTCATTGATCAACCTGTTGTCTAATCATTGTCAACACTCACAACTGTAATTATTTCATTTTCTAGTGAAATTATCATTGGATATTAACAGGGAGTTTAAGTTATCGATAATAAGATAAACTACTTTCCTTGTCTCAACTCATGGCCTAAAGCATTAAATTTATTTTAAAACTTGATTCAATTTCATTTCAATGTTTTACAAGAAATATTAACAATTAAATATTGATTTTAACTGAAACTAAAACCTTTTTTGGCTTTTCTTTCAACTTCAATATTTTATGCTCAAATGGGATTCCATTTGCTTCTGAATAATTTAATGCAAAGAATTGACCGAAATCTCAAAGAATAAAACAATCGAGTTGACCAGTTCTAATAATGTCTTCATTCTGATCAGAAATAACATTTATTAGAACATTAAACATGTTAATAGCCTTTAATGTTGACTTTTCAAGTTATTAATCAAATAATAAGAGCAATAACAACAGTAATAATCGACAATTAAGAAAAGATCTGACATTTTGTTCAATTAAATGTTTCTCCATCCAATGTTTATCGTCATTTCATTTGATTAATCGTGATAATATGAATTTATGTGAATAATTAAACAACTTTTTCATTCTCATTTCCATTTTGCAAGCTTCATATAACTTGAGTTATCCATGAAATTGAGTTGAAATCAGTTGACTTTTGTGAGATTCACTTAATGTTCACATTGAATGATTAAACTGTCTTAGTTGATTTGATTGAACTTTGATTGTCCTGAAATAAGAGAAGGAAATGGAAATTCTGTTGATTGTTGACAAAACATAATAGTAATAATGGAAGGAATAAATTGTCCGAAGAAACAGGAAATTTTAGTTTCTTCTTTATAAGACATTCTCTATTCAATGTTCTCAGTTATTCCAAGAATTTTGGTGTAAAATGTGAAACGGAAAAGAGGATAAACATGGAGATGAACATGAACAGCAACAAGATTATCTTAATGATTATCATGAACCAATCAAAGGAACAACAAGTTGAATCAGAAGAATTAGTTTAATCATTGAATAATCCAATTGGAAACAACAGATCAAAGTGATTCTTATTGATTGATTAAACTTATTGGTTACTTGAAAGTAAACAAAATGTGCTCAAACTATTTACATAATCAAATGTCCACTTCGATGAAAGGAAGTAAAAAATGTGTTTGCTTTGGTCAAACAGTAAGAAGTGAAATTATTGATTGATTAATATTGATAATTCAAACAATGAAAGTGCAATCAATTTACGATTAACAGGAAATTTGATTCTCTTTTCGTTTTTTATCACAATTTCCAATTCACACTCACGATGTCACTTCAGATAATATATTAGTTATTCAATATTGTCATCACTTGGAGTTGGAATGTTCAATATTTTCCTATTTTTCAATAACTTTACCTTCTTAAGCTTTGACTGTTCAACTTGTAATGAACATTTAAAGATCACAATTTAAAGTAATGGCCAAACTGGATTCAAAATTGAATTATAAAGGAAAGATTTTGTTTGTTTATTTGATGCTTGTTAAGGATTTAAAGATGACCATTAAAGAGGATAAATTGGACAACAAAGTAAAGTTAAACTTGAAGATTATCAACAATTGAAGTGGATTAAACAGATGAAGAGAAGAGATCAATTTCAAATTAAAATTGTAAACTTGATCTCACGAGGGAATCAGATAAAAGACTTTACTTTTTGTTATTTTATACAAAAAAGTTGCTCTTTTCCCATTAAAATGCTTCCATTTATTTCATTCAGTTTAACCTTATTAAGATAACCTTTGCACTCCCAGTTATTGTTGCTGTCAAAATGCTTAAAAATCAAAGTTTTCAACAAAATATTAATTTCTTTTCATTCCTTTTTTGTTCAAACTTGAATCATTAATAATTTTCAATCAACTAATTGTTTCAACCAATAATAATGAACATCACTTTAATCATGAGAAATGAAACTTTCTTAATTTTATTTCATCAAAAAGGATGAGTTTGCATTAGTTTATTAGTTTATTATGATTAATTAAAAAAGATGATAAAAAAGCACAGAAAACATGAAAACCTGAAAAGTAAAAAACTACAAAAAAAGAGTTCTGTTGAATAATAGATGAACAATGAAATGTTTTTTTGGATTAAAAACACGCGTCGAATGGTGAACATAAAAAAGGGTTTCATTTGCTTGATTCACCCACAACAGCAATTAAATATTGTAATCCAATCAAAGCCAATTACATTCACTTTTATCAACAGTTGAACAACAAACTAAAGTGAATTAGTTTTACTCTTGGATTGAAGTTTATTAGGAATGATATTAATACAAACAAATGTTCAATTGAAATGAAACTAAATATTAACAGCATAAAGTTATTTCGTTGATTCAAATTATCAGTTCAATCAATCATTCACATTGATTCTTATTCGTTAATCCTTTTCTTACTTTCAATGAATATAAATGAATGTTTGGCCACAATTTAACAAAGTAAATCATTTTCATCATCACTCATAATGTGACAATGGAAACCATGAAATGGGTTCTGAGGGTTCTAAGGGTTCTATTCATGAATTCAATGTCAATGTTAATTTGAATAAATTGATCAATCAAGATTAATTGTCCCTTTGAGTTTACATCGGCAACAAATAAACACTTGAAACTCAAGACTCGAAACGAGAAAAACTTTAGTTTTATGTTTCATTTTCATTTATTTAACACTTTTTTCAACTTTTTCAACTTTTTCAATTTTCATATTTAATCAAATAAATTGATGCAATTCTTGGAATCAACTCAAGTTCTGAGTGAATCAGAAGAAAACAAAGTCTCATGTGAATTAACTGAATAATGTTTGATTAATTCGTCAATTAAAATGATTTCCATAAACATGCTGATTCTTATTCAAATCATGAACAACATTTAAGTGTAAAATGTCAAAATACTAATCACATTCACAAGTCGAGTTCAAGTCAAGTTTAACTTGAAGTATAATTGAAATAATATGAAGCTAATTATTGAAAGTAACTAATTTATGAGTTGAATTATTATTCGTATTTTGATTCCCATAAACTGGGAGTTTTTTGTGGGAGGGAAAAGATAATAAAAAATAACAAAAAGAGTGACAAGGAAAAGAAAGAAACTTTTTATTCTAATAAAATGAAAGTACGCAGGACAATGAAAGTGAAGGAGGATGAAGATGATGAGGATAAGGATGATGAAGACGAAGCTGGGAATGATATAAATAAATAGAGTCACTAGTTGCTTTTGTATTCATTTTGTGACTAACAAGGAAAGTCTAACATTGAAAATGGCAATTGCTATTGACACGAATAACATTGTTTTCAGTAAAAAGTTATCTTCTAATTCATCTTCATCAAGTCGCTCAAATTCAACATCAATATCATCTGGTCAAGCAGCAAGTTCATCATCAGTTCGATCTTCAGTTCGATTTTCAGTTCCACATTCACCTTTACCTTCATCACTTCCATCATCGACTGTTTCTTCATATTCACCAACAACATCATTAAGGAGTTCAACTGGTTTGATCAAAAACGAAACTTATTCAATCCCTGAAATGTTATTAAACTTGCCTTCAGTTTTGGTCGAAAGTATGATTCAAGGAACAATTGATTTCTTCAATAATTTGGTCAACGATTTCATCGACTATTTACCTTATTCAATGATCAACCATCATCATAATGGAATCACAATCAACTTTTGCTTTCAATTTCATTCCATTTTGTGTCCATTCAGATCGAGATTCATGCTGAAAAGGATCAACGTTTCTTCAACATCTTCCCCTTTCCCTTTCTCATCATCATCAACATGCTCATCATGTTCAAATGGACAAACAAACAAGATCAATTTACCCGATGTTATTCCTATTAATGATTCCAAAAGACGATCAAATGTTCAATTTAAAAGTTCATCAACACTGATCATTGATGTTGCCTCAACACTTCGAGATGTAAGCAATAAGTTCAACTCAGATCACTTGAGATCAACATAAAGATAATTCATTGATCACTCGATATTGACTCGCAATTGTCTAGTCAATTGTTTATTTTGTATCCACATTTCATACTCAATCATGTAAAATAAATTTCACTTGAAATCCAAATAAATTGTTTATTCAAATTAATTTCGCGTTCCTATTCAATCGAATCTGCATGAAGCTCTGAATAATCCTAAACTCATCTGAACTGAACTGAACTTGAAAAAGATTTAAAGCGATGAGTGAAAGCGCCATCTATCAAGCAACTGAAACAAACGACTGAAATCCTATAAATGATGTTATAGGATGAAAGGTCAACACAAAGAAGATGAAAGCAAAGATTATAATCAGATTAAATCATTTGTTAATCTGTCAATTGCATGTAAATGGTCAACGAATCATCAGATTATTGGTCAATAAATAATCCAAAGGATTATTTGATAATCTCATATTTAACCAACAAAACTTATTGTTAGTCAATCATTTATTTGCATGATAATGAACATCATTTCAATCGACATCTGAATGTAAACTCAGCCAATTCATGATCAACAAGATTCTTCCCTTTACTTTACATCATCTGGATACTTCTTGTTAAATGTAACCAAAAAAGTCTTTCAATTATTTTCTTGTCAAAAGATTAGATTCATTTTACATTAAATAATGCAATGGTAATGATGTTGAGGTTGAAGTTGATGTAAGGTTAATGTTATAACCATAAATGGGTTTTCATTTTCATTGAGAAAACCATTTAATTGATAAATTCAATTTCAATACTTTTCTGTTTACTTTTCTTCATTTAATGTAATCAAAGTAAATGCAGTTAATTAATTGGCTTTCAGTTTCATCCGATTCATTATCTGAAAGAAAAGAGAAAAAAAGAAAAGAAAAAATGAAATGTTAATAAAAGTTGGACAAATAATGTTACTTGAACAATTTCATTGAATTCAATAGATTCATGTTGTGATCAAATTAGATGACATTTTTTATCTCAATTAATAGTTTAGTCCATCATTTTCATGATAACATTCACATCATGAACAGCAAGAGGTAATTGTGTTTAATCAAGAAAACAACTGAAATTAATTAACATTAAGAACAGTGAAACTCTTTTAATCAAACAAATTATATAACAAGCAAACAACTGGTTCATGATAAAATCATTTAATCTTACATTTTAAGCATTAACATTGAAAAATGAATACAAACCGTGAGACTGTTTTTTATGCCAATTGACTAGAGTTGTAAGCAAAGAGGTTCAGTCTTATCATGCTTATTAATCCGTTGCATTTAAATATCGACCCAAAAGCTTGTTATTTTAACCAATTTTGCACTTTCATTGAGTTGCTTATAAAGAAGGAGTTGGCAGGAGAAATTATCTCAATCTTTTCATTACAACAATAAATAACATAAAATGTCAATTGAATCAACGGGTAAGTCGATAGTCACTTGGATAACTTTAATTAACAGCAGCATAAACTATGTCCAATTGGTTCGACTCGTTCCCATGCCTTAGGGTGGACCAGGAATCACATTAAATCATTGAATCTATTAAAATATTAAAAAACGAGTTGAAAAAAGTGGAGAGTAAAGAGGAAGATTAAAAAGTGTTTATGGGAAGATGAAAGTTGACTTGACTTGACTTGATTAAACTGTGACCATCAATGTATCAACTGTTCAACCAGATTAAATGGGTTAAAATATGCAAAATTTAAAATCAATCGGTGATAATCAGGAAGACGAAATGACAAAAGACTAATCAATTGGATTAATGTTGATCATCATAAACAGATATACTTAATGGAGATCAAGTGTTCATTGATTCGTGTTCATTTCTTGTTTGTATTGTTTGATAGGCAATTAATCATCCATCTTTTGGTGTTTAACTTGAACCAACTCGAGTCAGCTCAAGTCAAATCAGATTGTTAAGTTCATAAAAACACTAGAAAAATTCAAAAGAAAAAAAAAGTTCAACTCATTTTAAATGCAAAATTTACAACAAAATGTTATTCTGTTAAAGTCAACTTTTTTTGTATTTTTCCCTTCAACTTCCGTATTTTACAAATGAGTTGACTTGATAAGTCAACTTAATGTTATCTAATAGTCGACTTGATCACATGGAAAAAAGTCGAGCTTCCAATGGATCACTAAACATAACCGGAATCCTGAGATTAATCATCAAGTGGCATTAGCTTTATAAGATAATGGCTACTGTGAATAATCAAATTCATTGCATGTAAAAAGTGTTGTGTCTTTAAGGGTTCATCATCAACTGGAAAACACTTATCATTATCATCACTTTACTCAATCATTTTTTACCCATTTCAACATTAAAACACTGCCGAGTAAATGTTATTCCTGACACCAAATGGGAAGATTAAAGAGTATGAATGAAAAATGATTGTTGACCACCACAATGGTCACTATTAATACCTTCCAACATTGTAAACATTGAAATGATCAAATGGTAAAATCAAAGATGCAGCTAAAGACACTTAATATTTTCCCTCATTGTTCACCTAAAAAATGCACACATTTCTCTTAATAACAAATCATTTAGACTAATGATGTTATTAATGAAATAACAACAAATTAACAAACCGCACATTTTTTATCCTCTTCTTGGACCTTACAAAAAAATGCATCTAATTGCAGTTAATGTAATGGACCTTTCCTCGATTCCTCGATTTATCCATTATTTCACTTTTGCCTTCCATGAATCACCATTCTCCTCCTTTTGTTGTCTTCGGTAACTTTCCAATGATAATAATATAACAGTAAAAAAGGTTAAAATAATGTGTTGATCCATTTGTTAGGAAGACTGAAGGAAAAGAAAGAAAAGAAAGAAAATATTAGAACTTAATAGCTATTTACTTTTAACCACTAGAATTATCATTTTGTAGTTGAGATCAAATTTTAGGGTCAGTCAAGGGAAAGATGAACAAACAAGGGACTCTTTACAGTGCAACAGGGCATTTCGACCAAATCTTACACTGATTTATGGTCATAAATCGAGAAGGCTTGATATTGGAACTGAATCATGAATGAAATGTCTTGAATTTTAAATGGCAGGCCATTCAAGTTCACCTGTTTATTTGAAGACTGAAATCCATTTTTTGAAAGCGCAATTCTTTCTGAAAAGGCAAGTATTTCGAACATGGAAACTCAGTCACTCAAACGAAAAGGTCAGTGTTAACACTTGAAATTGATTCGAGATTATTTTTTTCGAGAGAAAATTTCATTTCCATCGCACGAAAAGTTAGTACGAAGAGGATGGCCGAATGAACTCTTCAACGCCAAAGTCGCTAGATTGGGATCATCAGATGAAAATTGCTGAGTTGTGAGTTCTTTACATTTTTGTAGTCAATTTCAGCTATAAATTGATTCAATTCAGCGATCAACATTTCGATGGATTTTGATGGTTTCTTTGTTGTCTCTTTAATTGCATCTTTTGTTTCTTGTTTTCATTGTTTACTATAAATGACATTATTGTTGTTATTCACTTTGATATGAATCTGTCTTGACCATGCACTTTTCATCTATTTATTGACTGTCTTTTAATCAAAAAGGATTCAATAGATTGCTTCAACAAAATTGGATATCTTTTTTTATTAGTACGCTATGTTTTCTTGTAATCTGAAGATACTTTTTTTACTTTTCATTCATGTCATCAACAGTCTTTTTAATGGACATTCCGATGTCAATAGAGTTATGGTCACTTGGATTCACAGTTTATCCACTTTTTGTCTCATTTACTTGTCATTAATGATTCCATTTGATGTCCACTTTTTTTTACAATCCTGAACAAGTAATTACTTCAACACAAGAATGGAAAACTACAATTGATAAAAAAGAAAGAAATTTGATATTTCTGTTGACCATCTCATTATGATTGCATCTTCAGGGAAGAACAATGAAATTGTTTGATTCTTTTATTCAACTAATTTCATTTTAATGAAATCAATCAATCATGATTTACAAAGTAATTTTAGTTACAGGATTCGACAAAATTCCTTATTCACTCCCAGTTCAAATGTGATTACATTTTTTCAAGTTTACTTTTGTTTTCTCATTTAATTGCAGCAAATGATTTCTATTGAAGGTGAAGACAAAAAATGTTGTCAATGAAAGGTCAAGGAATAATGAAAAGATTACTTTAGATGAAACTCGATTCAGAGGTAGATCGGGATGATTGAGTCTCGTCCATGACTAAGGATAACTTGACACTTGACTTTCATGATAAACTATGAAAATGTTTCAGTCGCTTTTATATTAAACAATATCAATGATCACATCGTGAGAAGCTATTTTACTTTAATCATGTTTAACATTTTAATGTTTAAAGGCGTTCGATTCATTTTTTATGCCCTAATCACAATCATATTATTAAGTATGCTTTGCACTCTGAAGCCGATGTTATTTGAATAAGGTCAATGAGATACACATTTAAGCCACCATAAAACATACTTTATTCAATAGATTTGGTCAATTGTACAATTATATCTTTTTCATGATTTTTCAATCAGTTAACCCTCGAAATTGATGACAATGATGAGTGTGATGAGTGCGATGAGTAGGATCAAGATGATGACGATGATGATGATGATCAGGTTGAGTATGATCAAAGTCATCATCATTTGATTATTGCATGAGATGATTCTTAAGTTGATCACCTTCTTTATTATCGGAATCATTTTTATGTTCACAACCTTATGCTTAACACATAAAAATATATTCAACTTGTATTTGCTCAACATTATCATTATATAAATATCGTTAATCAAGAAAAGAGGAAAACCATTTATTGGTTTCTCCTTCATAAATTAAATTAAAGCTTGAGAAAAAAAAGATCAATAATAAGGTGAATTGTAAGTTCCTTTGGTTTGTAACAATTAACCAAATGCACAAAAAGTACATATAAATGTATATAAAAAAAGGAAAACATAAATTTCTTGTTTCACTGTCAATGGATTAACGCTGTTTTAATGGCAATGAGAACTGGATCAGTAAAGATTATCATTCATATCAACATATATTTACAAAGGCTTTCAATGAATGTGAAAAGATATCATTTCAAATCATCTATCTGATCAATAAGTTTCATTTCAATTCAATCTTACTCTTATTTTATTCCTATCAATATGTTCAACTTGTTCATTCATGTTTGACTTTACTTTACTTGACTTAACACATTAACTTTGGTTGTTGCTTTACCAAGTTAACCTCAACTTGTGTTTACTCAGGCTGTTACTCAAGTTAATAGTGATTAGTAACAATTAAACAAACAATGAGCAATAATAAGCAACAAAAGTGACAAAATACAACAAGAATGGCGTTAATATAAAAAATAAATGTCAATCTTCAGTTAAATTATTAGTCGATTTGTTACTCATGAGACTCATGTTTTTTAATAGTAACTTTTTATTTCTGATTTTCTCTCTTTTTCTTTAATCATAATTATCATTAATGTTATTGCTTTTATTATCATTATTATTATTGCCTTTGTTCAAATAATCAAAGCTGTAATATCTCTTATTAACATTTAAATGATTTAACAGACTTTTTCATAATATCGATGAGAACTTGAAAAAATTTGAAATCATTTCTTGGAATTGAAAATCCTCAACACTTCAAAAAGACTTATTTTTACTCAAAATTCCTTCAATTTTACCAATAAACTGGACATGGTTAACAATCTGTAAATTGTTAATGATCACTGAATATTTCAAATACAATTTGCTTCAATAATATTAATGCAAAAATTATTCCTTTAGAGCTTTCAATAACCGCAAATGGCTTTCAAAAGTCAATCTCAATATTTCTATCGACTACTTCTAATCATATGAACACAATTGAGTGTGAAAAAGAGGGTCCAGTTGTTTAAAGTGGTTATGTGAATAAAAGGACAAACATTTTGAATTAATGTTGATAAAGTTGAGCTTCAAGTTGAAAGATATTTTTTTTAAGGAAACTGAATCTTCTCTAATATCCGGAGTTCCTAGAAGTCGATCAAAACTCATTTTTTTACAGTGAAAAACGTAAAAATGAATCATCCTCTCTGACTAGAAATTAAGTTTAAAATGAATTGACCATAAACATCAAATTCACAAGTCCAAGTTGATGAGGACATTAAACATTGAATTGGATTGAATAGGTGATCTCTAACTCGAGTTAGGAATCGTATCTTGGAAATTTAAGCTCTAGATTCAGTGTTTCGTGAAGCGAAACCACATACGGTCAAGAAATCATGCTTGCGAAATTAACTGTATTTGCGATTTGGCTTTGTTTTGAGCAAATGGATGTGGATTTGTGAAATGTCCTGAGAGCGTTTCAATCGAAGGTAATTTCCATTCCTTTCCTTGCAAACAATAAATTATGTGGTCCATGACCATCGATGAAAGATCTATGCATAAAAAAAGATTGAAAACAAAATTAGTTCAATATTTTACCAATGTTGGAAAACACATTTAAACAAGTGAATGAATAAAAGATTCAAATTTAAATTTTGGTCTCAAAATCCCAAATAGCCATGATCATTATTAAATTTACACAAACACAAACACGGTTTGTTCCTATCAACACTTTAAATCAACTTAAAGACTCCATCGATTATCAAGTAGCCTCTCGATGTTAATATTAAATTACGATTTTAAATAATGTCTTTTTTCATTCAATACTTACTTACCATACTATTATAATATTGATGCAGATTCACCTATTTTATACGCAATAAATTTCTTCATGTCAATCACATAACTACTTTGTATGAACTGTGAGCCAAAATTGTTTCTAAAAAATGATGAAAAAATGTAAGTAAGTTAGATGAATGAATAAAAATAACATTATCAACTAACCTTGCATCAATTCAATCAGCTTTTTGAATCACCTCATTTGCCCTTTTTATTAAAAAAGGTTGTCCAAGAGGAAATCATTTCATCAAATTTATTACATCTTTTTTTTGTGTAAAAATATAAAAAATTCATTGACTCCAATGATTCAACTTTTTTTCTGCTCATCATTACACGTAATTGTTGCTCCTTTACAGTAAAATAACAATCACCTAAGAACCAATCTACAGAATGCAACTGAAAGACATAAATAGAGATACTTAGCGTTACTAAAAATCATTGATGACTTTTTCAAAGTGATGCAAGTAATAAAAAGCAAGCAAAAAATGTTGTTATAAAAACATACAACACAACACAATGTTGATTACCTTTGGGATTGAATTCCCTCACTTTTTTGTGTACTGGTATTGACTAGACTTTTACAAACCAACAATCCTTATTGTGTCACTTCAATTGAAAATAGGATTTTCACTGTTTTACCAGAAAGGAATCACTTGCTGATGAAAATGATGAAAATGATGAAGATGTTGAAGATGATGGTGAAAGCCAAGGAAGCCTAAGTATCAATAAAAAAGAAAGAAAAAAAATCAAATAAAATAAAGATGAGTTTAACTTGAATGTTGACTGTAAATTGTGTCATAATTTAGACTAAATTGTCCACATTTGAAACCTTAACATTATAATTGTCTTTATTACCAATAATAATGCTAATGATATATCAACTTACCCATCTCTCAGTGGATCAAAACCAATCAAAATAATACTTGTCCATTTGATTAAACTTATATTCACACTTGACTTGTTAAATAACATTAACGAACTAGAAGCATGAATGAATGACTGAAAAGGGAATAAAATAAAATTGAAATAAGATAATTGAGAAGGAAGTGAAGATAATTCAGAATAAACCGAAAAAATAAAATATCTTCTGATTAAAAGTAACGGAAAAATTATTACAGATGATCAGATGATAAAAGAAAGGATTTGAGATTGAATTGGTATTTAATTTATTTTCACTAAATGTCACACTAATCCTTTAAATATCGAGCAATAGTCAAAGACAATTGAAAAGCAACGTTTCTCTAGTATTAAACAAAGGTCAACTAAAACAAAGAATCACTTATCCAACTGTAACTGTTACTTAATTTTAATGATTTCCATTTAATTATTGTGTTATGACTTCTTTTGTATTAAATAGTGTTAATTGTAAAACATTTGCTATTAATGTGTTTTTGGTTAAGCAACTCATTTCAACCATATATCGATACTTTCCGGTTTAATCTTAAAAGGTAAGTAAAAGTCCATTAACTAAAACAATAAAAGTATGACCATTAGAAAAGATTAAAATGTTAAAGTATAACACAATTAAACATGTAATTAATTTTATTGTATCATTTTCACTTTCAGAAGACACCATTTGTTATGCTTGGACGAGTTGAACTTCTTTAGGTGCTACCACAAAAATAAAGAATCGGATATTTTAATTTGCTTTGAATTAAGGTAAGTATTGAAAGACTGACTAACGCTGGTATTGAGTTTCTCATGTCTATCAAACTTTCTTTTTTTATAATAAACTTCACACATATCATGAAGTGTCTTTCATTCTTGATTAGCTATAATAATTGTTTCTATTTTTTATTATTTTCCAGTCAATTTCGATTCATTGTTGTATTAATCTATGATTCTTATTGGATACGCCTCAAAATATTATGACAATTGTGTTTTGATATCTTCAATGGACACTTATCAAGTTTTGGTGAATTACATTCTCATCCTTTTCTTATTACATATTCACTTATTCACTTGATGAATACATACAAGATGATGCTGATGATACTGGTGAAGCTGATGAAGCTGATGAAGATAAAAATGTGGATGAAAATGAAGATGGCGAATGAGGATGTTTCTGGTTTAAACACGTTTGTTTGGATGAGATCGCTAAATAAGCACGTGACTTGTCACCAAAATGTCAAACGTTATCCTATTTGCATAGTTACTCCCTGTAGTGTTGGTTAAGAAACAGTTTACGGACAGTTTTTTGGACAAAACTGTTATTGTTATAATGATTATTATCATTATCCTTATCATCATTATAACTACTGTTGCTGTTACTGTTATTTCATTATCATTATTCCTATTGGATTGACAAGAAGCAGTCTTAAGACATTCCTCTCCTTCTTGATGCTTATATTTTTTATGCTTTTATGCTTAAGCTTTTTCTTTGAGTTGAATGACCATAAAAAACTGTACATCATAATGTTTGTCCTAATCTTGTCAATGTCCATACTTGTGAATCCATCTGAATATACTTTAATCTTGGTCAAGGGATGACCAAGGGTAACTCAAAGAGAGCAAATAAAAGGATACAAATAAAGGTCAATATTGTTATTGTTATTATCATCATCATCATCCTTATAATGCAATATTATCCTTACAATCAACTGTAAGTAGCATTACAAACAGAATTTTCAGTTAACAGAATTGAAGGAGAAAAGTGGTTTTTATGTTAATATAATTTATAAAATATTAATTCTGTTTATAAAGAGCATCAGAATAAGATTATAACATGAAATAATGAAGAAAAAAGAAGAAGCTAATTTGATATTTTTTGTTTATTAAGAAACTATTGGATTGTGACAAAAGTATCTTGTTATATTAATATATTGTATTACATGTTTTGATGTGTAAAACACCAAAGATTAAGACGAAGATGAAGATGAAGAGACTGATGATGATGACAATAAATTGTGTTATGATATTAATTCTGAGAAAAGAGTCAATTCAGTATTTAACATGAATGAAGATGAATGTCGTCTTATTGATGATTATTGCCATTCATTTGTTATCTTGATTATTGTTTTGCCTCGTTTAACATTCAATCACAACTAACAATCTTATTCACTTGACTTGTATTATATTTATATACTTGATTTAATACAACAAATTAAGTAAAAGGTTAAAAAATTGAAGTAAAATATTTATTATAATATCATATTGCAGTTGCTTGATTGATGATCAAATTTAACACAATCCTGATCACCATCACAATAATAATAACAATCATCATCATTAGCATTATTTGAGAGCATTTTTTTGTTGATGTTGATCATGAGAAAAGAAGAGAATCTTGTAAAAGCATAAAAAAGGGTCAATAAAAGGTCAATGTGAAATGAATGATGAAAAACAAAAAAAGTAAAGTTATTCTTGTTCCTTATTTTTTAACAAAAACATTCATCTTTTTTTTGTTTGACTCTCTTTGAACTGATGTTGAACATCATGTAAACTGATTCATCTGTTAATGATTACAAGATATAAACACTCAACATGACAACAAACAATAGTTAATGATAACAACACCATCCACCTCATAAATCGTTTATCGTTTTGTCCTTTAAAAGGGTTCTCAGTGAAGTACTCATTGAATGAGATCAATTCACATACTCACAACACTCACATCGACACTCACCCTTAACTTTACCCTTAACTTCACCCTTAGTCTCACCCTTGGCCTTCCTCACTCTCCGTGACTCTTCCGGTGTATCATCATCATCATCATCTTCTCATCTCATCCTCATCTAAACTCCCAACTCCATTTACCTCTTTGTATAACTTTCCCTTTCTCATTCATCTTCATTCCCGTTTAGTGTCTTTGATACTTTTTTAGATTCACAGATATTCCGATTCCACAGCATTCACTGATTCAAGTAATCATCTTATTCCAATGGATTCACTTAGACATTTCCGTGAACAATCACAGACACACACTCAACTAGCCACTGGCAAAACAATATCATCATCATCATTAACATGATAGGGATAAATATTTTGTCACTACTAATGCCATTAATTTAGACACGTTTCCACTCACTTGAACGACTTGTTGCTATTAAAATTAAACTTAAATGTGCTCTCTATTAACATAATCAATCTAATTTTACTCTTTCCTTTAATTTGTTTCATATCATGTTGTATTCATATTTTTTAGCAACACTGTAAAGTGATCAATCTTTTACTCTACAACAATTGACTCTGTGAGAATCAGCAACAATGTTACTTTCATTGTCATTACAATTTCAATCTCGTTGTTACTTTTTTTCAAAAAAAAAACCTAAAATTGTAAATCATATTTTTCAACTTTCCAACATTTACATTGTCATTAGATTTAAAGTTACATCAAACATTCATTACAAGTCAACATTTTCCCATCAATTGGCCAAATACAAAAAGCAGAATCTATTTTTTCATATTTAAACTGTTGATTGATAAAATCAATTTTATAGTTTTCAATGTAAATATGCAACTATGAAAACTAATCAATATGAACAATCTGAATGCATAAATGGTGAAATAATGAAAGATGAATTTCATGAAAAAAAAACTGTTTCAATTGATGAGTCAAAAATGATTTAAAATGTTTGCCCAATTTAACGTGAAAAGTGAATGAATTTGGTGATCAAAGCCAAGACCAAACCATGATGGTTATAATAATGTTATAATAATGATAATAATAAAGTGTTTAACCCATTATCAGTTATCAAAATGTTTACTCCAACCATTAAACACTAACTTTAAAGTAATAACATTTCCATTCACATATAAATCATCATTAAACTGATTGCTTTATCCTCAAATGGTAATCCCAAGTTTGAGCATAAAAAAAAGGCATTACAGGACCAAGGGAAAGTGTTCATAAAAATTTGACAATTGTTTAAATATGTAATGCAATTTGGTTTCATTTTTCATTATAAAATGTGAATCCAGTGAACCCTTGAAATCGGCAAAAGGTTCCTAAGCGTGACTTGACATTCCAAGTGCAATAATTTGCTTCTGAATTACACTGAATCAAGATAAAACCTTTTCTTTGCCTTCAATTGGAAAAGGTCTGAGAGAGAAGGACAAAATTGATGGCAAACAATAATAAAAGGATTAAAGGAATGATTTAAGTTTGATAAAAAAAAGGAACCTCAAAAAATGGGGAAAAGTGTTTTTTCCATTATTTTCCAATCAACCCAAATTGAGCTTGTAATCATTGAAGAGCATCAAAGTGACAAATTTTTGCTTCTTCGAACTCAGTCAATCAGTTTAATCAGTTTAAGGCCAGTTTCTCAGCCAATCCGTTGAGGTCACAGCTTATAATCGGTTGATTGTTGAAATGAAAATGATTACAATTTCAATAAAGTATCCAATGTCGTTAAAATTGCTTTTACTGGTTGATCTTATTTTCACTCGTTTTTTGTTGCTGTTCAACATTTTCATCAGACATTTAAAACCTTTAACCCAACTCACTGGGAGTTGAAGTGACTTTTGATTACATTTGATGTGCAAAGGGCTAATCAAAATTTAAATTGTCAGTTAACTGGTTGTTCATGGGAAATGTTAATACACTTTATTGTTAAATAAAATGAAACACAGTTTGTTTCTCAATAAAAAAGTAAAAACCAGTAAAGTGTAATGTACAGTGGTTTGGTATTCATTGAAATTCAATATAATTTTCAGTTTTCTATTTTTTCCATTTTTTTTCAAGGATTCACAGTTTGATACCAATGATTGCTGTACAATAATGGCTATAATAATGGTAATCATGATTAGGGTAAAAAGATGATGGTTAACAAGTGTTAAGAGCGTCGTTTGGATTCAATTTAAACCATTATAAACTGATCAATGATTAAACCATATTGTTTTGTATTAGCTGCTACTTGTGTTTGAATGGCTTTTTTCAAGATAAAACTTAAATTAATTACACTTGCGCCAATTTACATTCAACTCTTGCAGGGTTCAACGCTCAAGCAGTCTTTTTATTTCGTTTGCGTTTCAAGATCAGGTCGAATTCAAAGTATCTTCCAAGTTCTAACCAAGCTTTGCATCTAATTGAACTATTAAAACGTGAGATTCACGGCTTGAACTTTTGATAATATCAGTAAAATCGATCAGCTGATCCTGATCTTGATCATGCAACAGAAG